GGGAGCCCATCCACCACACAGTAATCTCCAGCGTGGGAAATTAACGTCTCCTACCCCTAGCCCTGCAGGAGACGGGGCCTATGGTTTATTCGTCCTTATCCAAGAGGACTAGAATATTTATCCATTTCTTGATATTATATTCTCCTCAGTTATTTTAAGAACCTGATTGTTGGTCTGGTCGGGGTTTGAACCCTTGACCTCCCACACAACAGTCCGGCGCTCTACCAATTGAGCTAACCAGGAGGCGGTTAGCTCAGTTGGTATATACAACCTACCTAGAGCTGCAGTTTAATTCTGCTATACCAATAGCACAGCAATCTCTCTTTTTATCTTATCTCCACATCCAGTACACAGCAAAAATGAATGAAAAATGGCCACAATAAAAATGAACGAGACAAACAAATCCAGCCCCCAATTTTCAAAGCCACTTTTCCCTCTCTAGATTCTTTATTTAGCTTTGCTCTAGACCGACTATATTCTAATGGCAACTGCAAAAATATTATCTTTGATGGCAGAATCATAAAAAGAAGTGTACAGATGAAACATGATGATATTGATAGGTGAGGATTAGATAATACAAAATTAAAAGTATGAAACACAAAAGTACAAGATTTGGCAATTTTTTCCCTTAGGATACTGAAATAAGGGGATGATCTTACAAGCATAATTCATCAAATATAAGAAAATATTAAAAATAAAAATAATGGCACGTAAGTTCAGACAATTATTCTATTATCAGTATAAAAAATAACAAGAAAAAAAGAATATTGAATTTGTTGCTGATCAAGGATATTACCTTCATCATAAATGGAAGAAAAACGTTAATTATTCATGTCAGAAGTAACAGTAATTAGTTTAACCCTAATTAAGACTAGTTACTTTTAAGAGGCACAATACACAAAGATACAAATTTAAATAAAAATTGCACGCCACCCTTCAATAACCCGCATCTCTGACGAGAGTCGGGTGGTTTTCTCAATAAAAATTTCAAGTGTAAAATCTAATAATCCCTCCTTGACTTCCGCAATGAGATCAACTTGATTACTTCGACTGTTCTGCAACTGACTCACTTCAGAATTTATCATTCTTAGTGTAATATAATGTTACTTACGTTTGACAAGCTTTGGATTCGGAAACTGCACTGTGCTGCCATGACCCAGCTGTCCCCAATCATTACTTCCAAACGTGTAGAGTTTTCCATTTTCTGTGCAATAAAAGACATTGTTACCTTGAAATCTGTGTTTTCCAGTGTTTTCAATGTAAGATTTCTACAGTGATTAAATTAAAGTACATTTACTTTTATCACACAGATTGATTTTAAAGCTTGTCCAGCTTTAAAAACAAAAAAAAATTCATCCATTTTAAAAAGGGAAAGGAGATAAGGAAGCTTAAAAAAGAAAAGTACTTTGGTTAAGGCTACCTGTAACTACGGCGGAATGCTCGTCTCCACAAGCGAGGTGGACTACTGCATCATCGCGAATCCAAAATTTGTTGTCCAAGAAACGGCTTTTGCCAAACGTAAACACCGCGCCAGAATCTGCAGCAGAGCAAAGCAAAATCAGAAATTAAAAAAAAAAATATGACACCCACTTACAGAATTCTTTCTCTGCTGTGGGACAGTTAAGGAAAAGTTTTAAAATAACAACAGAAAGAAACTAATAAGATAAACAAACCTGGCACATCCTCGTCGTCCGACGCCATCTTGGTTTCTACGAAAGAGAATTATTGACCAATCAATGCGTTTCATGCGTTACTCCCGCCAAAAAAAATTCGTGGAGTTCGTGAATTATCGTGAATTTTCGTGACACGTCGGTTCTGAACAGTTTAATCAAAATGGCTTCCAATCGTTTGCTTCGAAGCTGCTTTCGAATTTGTTCTTCTATTTCGGGAGCTATCAGTGGAAAAGAATCTTTTAATGGTCATTCCAGAATAACAGGAGCTCTTTCTTCAAAGAGACATTGTGGCACAAGGTATTTAAAAGATCAATCAAGGATATTTCTATTGCCCTGCCGGCCCTCTCGTGGTCGATAATTTGTTCTGAGCACACCTTGATAGGGTTGAAGACATTAATAAATTACAATATCAAGAATTGTCGGTTTTCGTGGTCGATGAAAAAGAACATGATTTCCCAGCACCTGAAGTTCCTATTCTTTTACACTTTCAATCTCTTAGTGTATAAAATTGTGCTTTACAAGTTCTTTTCAATTAATTAATTAATTAATTATATTAGCTTCTTATAGTTCATTGATATATTTGCCCTCCTCATTAATTGAAAAAACTGATTTTAGAATCTCTTTTTAAAAAAAAATTCATCAAAAAACTGGTTAGTTTTAGAGAACTTTTTCCATTCTTTTTTTTTCGATAATGGCTGAAATAAGATAAAGCAAAAATTTTTTTGGAGATTTCAGGAATTAATAACCCTTTGACTCTCAGGATCTCATTTGTAATTCTCCTTAGTGTCTGCCATATAATTCTTGTGACTTAAGTGTGGAGAATTTGATACTTGATCAACATTAAATCCCCCTATTGTTATTTTTCTATATTCTCATCACATGTCTGCTTGATATTGTATTGATAATTATTGTAAGGAGAAATTCTGTCTTGGTCACTTATGGGAGTTTAAGGGTAAATAAAATGAATTGTCAAAGAAAAACATTGAAGCTTTCAACTCTCCATAGTCATGGATTTCCATCTGTTGTGGGGAAGGATCTCCTTACTCTGAGAGACTTCACTAGTGATGAGATTGGATATCTACTCTGGACTGCAGCTGATCTAAAGCAAAGAATTAAATATGGGAATGAGGTAGGTTTTACTTAGATTCAATTAAGATTGAATTAGATGTACTTAAATAGATTCTGTAAAATAGATTCTGGATAATTTGTGGAATCAGAGTCCACTTGATTTTTCTTTTTAAATGTTGTTGTATTTTTATAGTTTTCCTTCATAACATTCCCGACATATTTGTTTTTAACCTTTTCCAAACATGGTGAATCTTGACGAACTGATGCATTTCAACAATGGTCGATAATTGGGTTACAGTGTACGCTTATATATGACCAAAATCAAGATGCTTTGGTGTTTCTTTAGTAAACTTTACATTTGACAAGCAGCAATGAAAACATGTAGAGCACAAATAATTTCGGTTCATAGGAAGCTCTTCTTTTTTCATTTTTTTTTTTCAGACAGTGCGTCTGTTAGAAGGCAAATCAGCTGCTCTTATTTTCCAGAAGCGTAGCACAAGGACAAGAGTTTCGACAGAAACTGGTAAGGTATTGATGGATTTTTCAGCAAAGGCTGAAATATAGGTTGCAAAAATCTTCAGTTCGCCTTATTTTACTTTTCCAAAAATTTCAGGTCTTGCCCTTCTTGGAGGACATTCTGTTGTTCTCACAGAGAGTGATATTCATCTTGGAGTCAATGAATCAACAATAGACACAGCCAAGTATGTGTACAAAATCTCTGAAGGTCATGTTTAAATTTAATTAACTTATATTTCTGAAGTCCATTGATAAAGCTGTTTTTTGGTCATCTATAAATAAAACACTCAGATTTTCACAATATACCATTCCTCTTCTAACTCTTTCACTCATGGAGTGACCAGAAATGAAATTCTCCTAACATTGTAGCTATATTTTCAAATAGACAAGTAAGAAGAAGATAGAAAAATATCAACTAAAATTCTCAAAGTTAAAATTATAAGAAATGTATAGGAGACAGTGCAAATAATTGATTTGATTTCTATTTGAATGGATGTTGGAAATAAGAAACCAGCCTTGGAATGAATACCTCAGTACATTAATACCATTCCTTTTCTTATGAAACATAGTCATTGTGATACTGGTTGTCTGTAAGGAAAAACATGCGAGGGTATCAAATTCTTCAGGATTTGCACCAGCTATGGAAATCTTTGAAGGCTGTGGAAAACTAATCTCATAATTTCTCATTTTCAACTACAATCCTGGAAAGTTATGGAAGTTGAGTGAGGGTGAAGGGAGCCATGGAAAATGGCTGAACATGATTTTCAAATAAGTTTGTTATCTCATCATTATTAAATTAATATAATCATTATTTTTATTATGTTTTGTTATCAATATTCTATTTCTTACTTTTTTATCATTGGTCTTTTACAGGGTTCTTTCAGGATTCTGTGATTTTATCTTGGCAAGGGTATATGAACAAAATGATCTTGAAGTAATGGCAGAACATGCCACTATTCCAGTCATCAGGTACCTTGATTCAGGGTCTAATGCCAATGAACATGGTACATTTGGCTTAAAATTGCATCTTTGAATAAAATCTTGCTTTCTGATTGGTTAACGAAGCAAGGTATTTAGCAAGGAATTGCGAGTTGAAAACAAGGCTAAGTAATAATGTTTGTCATCTATGTATACATGTATAACAACTATAAGTAATGTTGTTTTGTTTATTTTCTTATTTCTATTCAATTATGCAATTCAAGGAAAATCCATACTTGACTTGTGAATTCAGCGTTAAATTGCATTTGAAAACTAATATCGCACTTATCGCTTTGTGATTCGTGCGATATCAATTTCGCATACTATCTAATGTGGAATTCCCTCGTCAAGTAATAAATTTTCCTATAAAAGTCATTCTCCTAACCCTTTAACTCTTTATACCCAAACATCAGTATACATATATTCTCCATACTATTGTCCAAACATTTCCTAAGGTGGTGACAAGGAGAATTTGTTTAACAATCAATAGCTTGTTTAGTTGGTGATCATTTCCTTAATTCTCATGACATTAATGTTTGATACAGCGGTGATAATATTTTTAAGGAGAAATTAGTCAATCTTAGTGCCTGTTCAAAGGGTCAACTTCCACAAGTGACCAAGCTAGAATTTCTCATTACAATACAAGAATAACATCAAGCTGGAAAGTGATGAGTCAGAATAATGTTAAAATATCAATTAGGGGATTATTAGCTGATCCTATATAAAATTCTCAGAACTAGCTTCACAAGAATTGTATGGCAGACAGTAAGGAGAATTACTGAAAAAATGATATTTTTAGAGCAAAAGGGTTCATTCAATAATGTACCCAATATATTTCTTTTTCTGAGGCATCTCATTGGGTGGTAGTCTCCTTCGCAGCCGCTTGGGCCGGAGTCACGCAACGCTCCCCGGGAGCATTGCGTGACTCTGGCCCGAGCGGCTGCGAAGGAGACTAATTGGGTGGGGAACTTAAATTCTCAAATCTGATTGGCTAGCTATTTAACAATTATTCCACGAGCGCGCGTTGGATATGAGATGATAGATAGCCAATGAGGTGCGTAGCGCCGAGTTGGTTATAATCATCTCATATCCAACAAGCGCGAGTGGAATAATTCTTTTGTTAAAAAAAATGCCCCCAAGAGATTAGTAAAATCTTCTCTACTTTATTTTGTAAGAAGAAACCGGATGTTACAATGTGGAGATATTAGATTATGGTATATTGGCTCATATACCATAATGGCTAAGCCAATAAAAAGTCTTGAATTGCATTATCCAATGCTCCAGTTTTTAATAATTAAGATATAGACCACAGTCTGGAATTTTTTTCCATACCAATACTATGTGGTTTCTCTGCTCATCGTGTATGATACCTCCTAGCTCTTGCCTTCTCGTTTCCCACACAACTTTTTACTGTTAATTGTCCTGTTTTTTCCTCCTTAAATTACCTCTGTCTGTGATTCTAGGTATGTAAATTTGTTTTTTGTTTTTTTTTTGCAGTGGTTTATCAGACATGTTCCACCCTATACAGATACTTGCAGACCTTTTGACCCTACAGGTAACTTTTAGTAATGAACTGCTATATTTTTATGATGACTCTTTCTCAGAGACACACTCCCATCTTACAACACCTGTGATTGATTAACTTAATGTTTCAGGTTCATCAAACCAAAATAGGCTGTTCACATTTGGTGGAAACAGTCATGTTTATTGATTTTTTTTTTCTTTGAAGAGATTACTGTATTGTCTATATCCCATTCTTTTAATGTTCCAGGAACATTTTGATAGCCTACAGGGCCGCACCATTGCCTGGGTTGGAGATGGAAACAACATCATTCATTCATTTATGATGGCAGCCCCCAAATTTGGAATGCACCTGAATATTGCAACTCCAAAGGTCTGGTCAGCCTCTATAGAGATGTTTATTTAATCAATAATTTTCCAGCAGTAAATCAATCCTTGCCATTCTGCTGGGAGCAATGGGCCACTTACAAACATAATCCTTAGCAAGTTGGAGTGAATCCTTCGATCTCTGAGAGGGACTAATAACTGATTTCTCCTCACAATAACACCCCTGATACACATCAAGGTCACAATAAAGGAAATACTGAAAGAAGCTCTTGTTTATTAAACATACTTATATTCCCATTAACTTAGGAAATCTATAGAGAAAGGTATGGAGAAGGTATGCCAAGGTGGGAAACTGATGTTAGAATTTAGAAAACTATAATAGTAAAGGCCTCAGAATTACTCTCTTATGGTTATTTGAAGTATGAACTATAATATTCTAGGAGAAGTGCTAAATATTTGAAAGTTTTTTAGAGGAGATTACAAAACTTAATCAGAAATTTTGGTTGAGGTGGACAGGATTGAAGATGCTTCACCCTTCCCTTTCCTCCCAGTAGAACAAAACCAGAAGAACTTCCCGGCAATGTTGGGCACTGAGAACAAAAGAACTGTGCAGCCTGGTTTCATGGAGCCTTCTACGCAGACGTTCTTTGGGCTTGTCACGCAATCTTCCTCCCCCACGAATGGGGAGGAAGATTGCGTGACGAGCCCAAAGAACATCTGCGTAGGAGGCTAGGTTTCATGTCAAGATCAGAATAATGAGCAGCATTATTGTTTCGCACAGTCAAGAGATATCTAAGATGCCTAGTTTACCATATCGATATTGAATAGATACTGTTTTCTTTTGTGTATTAGGGTTATGAGCCAGACAATGAAATCTCAAAAGTTTCCCAAGGCTTTGCCCATGAGGTAGGGTTCTGAGGTCTCTCCACGCTTGTTGACTATAAAAAATAGGCAGTAATCTGTGAGGCATGAGTATTCCAGTGGTCAGTGCGCTGGACTCTGGGTCAGACAGCCTGGGTTCAAGTCCTGGCTGGGGCTTGACGTTGTGTCCTTAAGCAAGACACTTCACTCACATTGCTTTGTCTTCTTGGATAGGACGTAAAGCCGGAGGTCCTGTCTCCTGCATCTGTCAATTAGTTAATTTGGTTAGGCAGGGGACATTGAAGAACCCACATCATGAGATTACTGTGAGGTGGTCTGGCCTGCTTACTGGGAATTAGGGGAGGGGGCATCTGTAAAATTTCCTCCTCATGAATTGTAAACTGCTGCTGGCAGTCTGGAAAAGTCCCCCACACAGTGTTGTAAAGCGCATTAGAACACTACATAGAGATGCGCTATAGAAATTGATATTATTATTTTATTATTACTGTTATTATTATTATTAATCTCTAATGATGTAGTGCCAATCCTTCTTCTTAGCATAAGACAACTGTGAACCTCACAACAGATCCCAGGGAGGCATGTTCCAAAGCAGATGTGATTGTCACCGACACATGGATCAGTATGGGCCAGGAAGAAGAGAAAGCTGCCAGATTAAAATCTTTTGCAGGCTTCCAAGTTGATGCCAAGGTGGGATCTTGTTGTAGTAAATTAGGTCAATGTGAAAATCTTCCATAAGTCCTATTTCACACTCAAGGAATTGTATTTTTGGGAAATAATTTTTACAGCTTAAGATAACTTATTCCTTATTTAATATCATTCTTTGGTCAGTTGATGTCTCTTGCCAAAGAAGAAGCTGTTTTTCTCCATTGCCTGCCACGGAAACCTGAAGAGGTGAGCGATGAAGTGTTTCTTTCTGACAAGTCCTTGGTTTGGCTGGAGGCAGAAAACAGGAAATGGACTATAATGGTAAGTTGTATCCGTAACATGGGCCCTTGCTATAATACACCTTCAAACTCATTCTCCATTGTGAATGATGAAGTGAAAGATGGCCTATATTGAACATAATATATGGCCACATGTGACATTCCCACATGTGACATACCCAAAGCCTCTGATTTGAAGCAGGGGTTAGTGCAGAGCCTTTTGTGCAACACTGTTTTCAATATTCCCACATAAATGGACAGTGGGTGATACAGTAGTCTAGTGGTTAGTGCACTGGACTCTGCAGGAGGTGGTTGGGGTTCAAGACTTGAATGGGTCAATGTGTTGTGTTCTTGGGCAAAGTACACTATCCTGCTAGTGCCTCTCTCCTCCCTGAAATGTAAATGAATGCTCGCAAACTATCAGGGAATCCTGATGAAATCTCAGGGGTAACCTTGCAAAGGACTACCTTCCTGTCCAGAGTGGGGGGGGGGGGGGGGGTAGTGATACATTTCATGCTTAGGAAACTGGGATAAGCTTGGGCTGGGTGGGCCACTTGGCTTGAGTTTAGACTTAACCCTTTCACTCACATGCGTGACCAAGACAGAATTTCTCCTTACAATTAACAAATGGTAAACAACACAGCGTACACTATTGAGTTATGCATGCACGCGGGAGGTTGCTAAGCATGAAAGAAGCGTAAGAGTCGCGTGAGGCGATAGCCGAGAGTGACTCTAGCTTCTTGAGTGCTTAGCAAACCTCCCAAGTGCATCCAAAACTCAATAGTGTACGCTGTGGTGTTTACCATTTGTTTTATAACACAACACTGATACATTGTAGCAAAAGAGTTCCCTTTTATCTAACGAATCTTACGTGACCAGAAAAAACAAGGGTGCGCGGAAAAATAGTCTTAGCATTTGCTCACGTCAGCAGCGTACACTCATGGGAAAATGGAGGATGCTGAATTGACCAATCAGATTGTGCAGTTTGCTTTGGTTATGTTATAATATCAATTTAATATCAATTCAATATCAAGAAGACAAGTGATGAGAATAAAGAAAAATATCAACTAGGGAATTACGAGTTGATCTGATACCAAATTCTCCAAAGTTACATCATGAGAATGGTATGATAGACAGCAGGGATCGTGAATTAATGACTCTTTTTGTATCTCTTCTGTAGGCTGTGATGACATGTTTGATGAATGATTACACCCCTATTTCTCCAATGCCAACTTTTGGAGGCAGTGATGGTGGCATCTAAGGAATATTTATCTGTGATGATAATTAATACCACTGTTAGGGATAATGAGAGTAATGTTTTTATTATTATTATTTTTAGTCCCTGTTGGAGTGTTTTAGATATTTGCCTTCAGTTTTCCTAACCTCCAACAACTATCAGTAAAAGGAATTCATATAATAAGTTAACCCTTTAACTCCCATAAGTGACCAAGACATAATTTCTCCTTGCAATTTACCAATACAACATCAAACACACTAGTGATGAGAATAAAGAAATAAATCAATTTTGAGATTGTCAGTTGATCCAATACCAAATTCTCAGAAATAACATCATAAGAGCTGTAGGGCAGACAGTAAGGAGAATTAGTTATGAGTTCTTTGAAGTGAAATTGATTATTAATATAATTGTGAGCTAAATGGTAAAAAGTACTTCAAACTGGGTACACTGTAGTGGCCTGTAAAAGTAGGATGTTTTGGTAGTGCTGGTAAACATTTCCATTTGTGTCAAAGGAATATTAACATATTGAATGTACTCCAATCAGGTGAATGGAAATGCTATTAAATTATTGGTTATAACTTGCATCTCAAGTTATGATTAGTTTGGATATTTTGGATGATACTCAGTTTGTCAGTAAATAAATCCCTTGTATGTGAATTTTGAGTGAATACACGGAATGAGGATATGCCATTCCAAAAATTGTCTCAGTTCCTTTTAAGTGCAGTAATATGCGAGTTTGACAATGCACCTCAATTGATTTTTGGGGAAAGAATCTCTTATTTTCATTTTCTCGCAGTGTGAAGAGGAAGTGTGAATAATTAAAAAAATGTTGTGAGATAGACATGTGACAACTATTTGTAGTTGAAATAGATTTAAGACCAATACTAGTATTTGTGTTAAACAAAAATGTGACTTGTAATTAATACAAGTGTTTAAATAAATAAAACATGAGTTGTGAGGTAAACATCTGTATTTATGTGGCATAATTTTGATTTTTATCTGATATCAATTTATGACCAGTATAAATAATTCAATACTATAAAACAATACAAGTGGCCATGGTGCTTTGTAAATTTGTACTCCCCATTCCATGCTTCATAATGGTTTTAAGGATCACATACAAACTTGTCCCCTTCCATCACTACATTTCTCTCCTAGGTTGCGAGCATGTTTAAAGACCTGCAAATGGCATAGCCAGTAACCCAACAAAGGATTGTACATGTCAAATGACCTCTGGACTGGACAAAAAAAAAAGCCAGTTCAAATTAAAGTTGACGATTAAAAGATAATCTGCACCCTACAGTGCCCAGTAAGGGACATCAGATGAAAAACACTTTTTTGTAACAAGCAGTGCTACTTATTTATCTAGCACTGCCACTCACTTATCTGGCACTGCTGTTTTTCATCTGATGTCCCTTACTGGGCACCGTAGCACCCAATTATTAGAATTTGAGCTGAAAATTTTTTTTTATGAACTTCAATTGAAGAGAGTCTCAAAAACAGTTCAGATTGAGGTATTCAAGTAACTATTTTAATCAGGAACTTACAATAACACACTACTTTAATTTAAAAAATTAGAAAACTTTGACTGTTGAGTACATTTTCAAATTTATTTGTCACTTCTTACAATAACTGGAGACCTCTATAAATCAACAGGCCACAATGACACTAAAAAAGGTCACAATTTCCCACAAATGTGCAACAACCTCTGAGGATGTATTTCCTTAAGACGGATGTCCTAATGACATTCCTACTGATTTGAAAATCCTAAAATAATTGTCAATGATTGCCTGAAATATTCTCAAGTGAACATAAACCACAGCTGTTCAGAGCATAAACTTCTCTGTGAACCAAGATGTTCTTCACTGGCACTTGAAGTAGTGTGACATTTACTACTCAAGACCAGTATTGCATTTCAGTTTCCCCAACAATAAAATGCTCAAGATGAAATTCAGAGAAATCGCACTCCCTGCTGTAAAACAACATAAAAATAATTAGGGCTGGGTAAAATTATTATAAATAGACCACTGTCAATACATGTTATTGTCAGTGTTGATACTCTTCAGTTTTGACTTACATATTGAGATGTTGATGTCAGACTCTATGTTTGATAATCTGGGACTAAAACATAAAGCAGGGTTGCATATGAGGGCCAGAGGCAGATGAGCACTGCCAATTTCTACATGCATTGCTTTGCTGGCTACTCCAGATGTCCCTTTTCATTCTGACTTGAGGATGTTATGAATCAGTTACTACTAATCTTCACTACTGTCTACTTGTCAGCAACAATAGTTCACCTCAGAGATCAGAAGAAAAACCCTGACTTAGCTCTTGTCATACATGTAGGGTATCATGGCTTCATACATGCAAAGGACTCTTACATGAACAACTGGAGCTAATGATTTAGCTGATCATTGCTTGAAGTTCATAACAGGTGTATTGCTTTAACTGAATGTAGTGTCCATTCCTCTTCCTTTGCATAAATGCCCCGTCTTGTACTGTCCCCTTATAGCTACAAAATGATACATTATATGGGACCCACAAACAACACCCTCCACTTTCAGACAGAAGCAGATGGAGCTCTCAATACTGAAACTTCATTCCATGTTTTAACAGTTGTTCCACTGAACAAACAATAAAACAGTACTGTAGATCCATAGGTACAGGTAATTGTTCACACACTGCTAAGTTTGACAAGTCCCTTTTCACTATCAGCTTGGAGACTGTCTTGTTCTTGTGCCCTGGGCAATAACTTGTTTTGTTCATCCTCTCCTCTACTGGCATCATGTCTGACACCATTTGTTGAGCCTAACTGTGTGGGGGACTAAAAAAAAAAGAAACAGATATATCACAGATTATATAATGTATGTACTTGAACACCATGCACTTAGGTATTTGGATGGAATAGACAACTTTTTTGAGAGACATGTTTCGGCATGCTTATGCCATCTTCAATCAAGGAGTAACTGAGTGTGAGTAACAACGTGACTTGCGTATTTGTAAGCATTTCAACACATCTCCTTCTTGTAAGAATAAATATTCCCTTTCTTGCTTTAGTATTCTGGATTCTGCTAACAACTCAGTTGATTTAAAACTCAAAGAAGCTTTTGATATAAATAAGATCAAACCTGAACTTAACAAACAATTACAGCATTATAACACTTTTCTAGCATTTTAGTTCACACCTTCGATGTTTGGTGTCGCGTTGTAATTACTACCCGCTCTTGTATTACATCATACTGTAAGTATTTTATTCATCTACTTGTATGTTATATAATTACTCACGTTCAGTTACTCATTGATTGAAGACGGCATAAGCATGCCAAAACATGTCTCTCAAAAAAGTTGTCTATTTCTTACAATAATTATTTATCATACTTGCTACTACTACGACCATATTTGGATGGTATATAACCCTGTTCAGTTGGCCAAAAGGTAGGGCAATTCTAGCAGATAAGTAAAAACTGAAAAAAATTATGTAAACAAAAAGAAAAGTTAAAGTATCCTTCTGCACAAATTGAAGATCAACTCTTTGAAGTTAGTTAGGCCTTGCCATGGTAAAGAAGATTAAGCTACTTAGAAATGCACCACGAAGTGACCCTTGATAATCCAACTAATTAAGTGTATTAAAGCATCTCCCATCTCGGTCACAAAGAGGTAAAATAAACTTTATCAATATCACTCACCATGGGTGCTGTGGTTGTTGTCCTTACTGCCCCATACTTGTCTGATTCAGGAGGTTCAGGGATAATAACACCTCTTCTGTTGATTAAACTAACAAACAAAAGCAGCTGGGAGACAATAACAACAACAATAATCCCAACAAAGATGTACAATTACCATTTCAGTAAATGGTTTGAACCCGGGGGTAACATGTGAAGGTGTAGTCTGATCGTCCGGGTGAGTGTAGTCCTGAGAAGGACTGTTGTCGGTGGTAGTGACTGACGTTTCGACAACCTGTGCGGAAGTCATCATCAGAGTCAACTCACAACTACACTCACCCGAACGATCAGACTACACCTTCACAATTACCATTTCACTAAAAGAGAAAACAATCAACTAGCTCCTATAATACTAATTAAGCATAAGTGTATACTGTTAGATGCATCTAGTTTGTCTAATCAGACCACTCTGGGTATTGGCTGATAGTTTCTAAAGAAACTGTTTCGGGCTGTGTCGTTGCCATGTTCCCACCAATAACGTAGCTCCATTTTCTGCCTTTAAAAGCACACACAACCCACAATTCCCCTATTTGCTCCAACGAAGGGCTAATGCTCAAAACGTCAGCTTTTGTAATCGTTACAGTGGTCAATTTACCATTTCAACTTTGTTGATATAAATTATCCACTCTCGGTATTGTCAAAGACTAGTCTTACAGTCTAGTTTTGGGACATATTTTGGTCCCTTTATCTTTGAGCTGCACTGTAAATGATGGCATTTTGCCTGCAAACTACTACTATGTGACGTTTTGCTGAGATTTGGTGGTTTGGAACAGTTGCCCCCTGGCAGTGAGGATAAAAATACCATTTGAAAACCAGCCCATCACAACAGACATCATGCTCATCATCATCATCATCATCATCATCATCATCATCATCATCATCGTCATTAAGAATTTCATTATCAGAATCACAATTATTACCAATATTATTGCTGTGTGAAAGTTGCTACAATGTAAATGAATGTACCTGGGCTGAAGTGGTCCGCAAAGAACTTCTGCACAGTTTTTCAATACTGAGCCCCGACTATAAGGATTGACATTTCCTTGGCCACTTCGTGAGGAAAATGATCCTTTAATCTGCCAAATCAAGGAGCTAAATATCATTACCAACATAACACAAGAAAAATTAAAAATTTCAATGTAGGATCTCGATTGTGCCCTAGCAGAGCCTGAATGCCACAGGCAACACTCTTTTGTATTTTTTTAATAAATAGGCAACCTGTCACTATTTTGCTACAAGAAACTTTTAAAAACTGGGCAACTAAGAGTTTTAAGACAAAAGCCTTCAGGTATTCAGTGATAGTTCTAAAAGGACAGGGTTTAACTTTCCTGACATTTGATAATACTAAGGGAGAACTTACATCCTCATTTGTAGTTTGATTTGAGCCAACTAAATATGAGTGAAAACCAGTCAATCCAACTATTGACCAGATTGAAAAAAAACAAATAATGGCTTCTAGGATAGTACAAAAAGTTAAGGACATCATCAGAAATCATGAAAAATGAAATCATGCAAGTACTGTGTGTCAAGATCAAATTACATCCTCAGTCATTTTTATCTTTTCCTACTCCTTCTTCAAAGGTATTGCTTGCTTGAACACTTTCCCCCTTCACCTTAAAATTGAGTTTCCTGAAAATTTGCTTCAACCCTCTCTTGTCAAGTGTGCAGGTTAGGAAGTCATTTGAATTCAATTGCGCTGACAAGTTTACTTGCTTGATGGGCAACTAGATACATAACAGACTTTCAAGGAAAAATCAGTTAGCAGCCAGTCTTCAGCAAGCATGAAGAGACAAGAGTTAGAAGAATTGTCAAAACTCCTCCTTCAGGGCCCAGTTGTTCGAAGACCGATTAGCGCTAACCCAGGGTTAAATTTTAATCCAGGTTTCTATATTTCTCTGTTCAAAAGCCATTTTAAGATAATTTTCCCAATTCTTCTTAGAGCATTCAATCACCAAATTGTAAACAAATGGAATTAAAGTGAAATTAATTTAAAAGCTTTCAGATCTTCAATTAAATTTCACGGTAACCCTGGGTTATCTTAACCCACCTTTGAACAACCCGGCCCAGGTTTTCTTGACAGGTCACATTCATTGCAATCCATTAAAACTCTTTGGTGCAGAAAGGGACAATGAAACAGTCACACAGTTGTCACTTTACACTACACAAAATAAATACAATTCACTAAAACTACCCTTCCCCAACATAGTGACTCGGCTAGCTATAAGGCCACCCCTTTTTCCCCTAATCCACAATGTCAATAACAAAGCAAATACATTTCACGTATAGTTTACATAACTTAAAAATCATTCGTGAAGATAGTTTCACTTCACTAGGACACAGTCTGTGTGTCTGATATTGTATTCAAAGGATATCTAGCAGGTGACTGTTTCATTGCAGAAATAAATGAATTGTCCTCCCCTTGGGATACTGTAAAAGAGATACAAATATTATTTGAATATGATTCCAATGGATTTACTGGTCTATAACAACTGTCACTAATAACTTTTGCTGTTAACCAGCAGCTCCCTAAAAAAGATCATTGGGATTTCTGGATTCTTCTACACAGTGGGAGCCTTAGGAAGACTACAACTGCTTTGGCAAAGAGAAGCTGGCATTAAAAAGGGTTTCTGAGTTACATCATAGCTCTGCATTTTGAATACTGTAAAAGCCCGCATATAAGCCCCACTTTTTTTTCCAAAAACTGTCCCCAGAAATTGGGGGTGCAACTTATCTGCAGGAACATTTGAAAAAGGTGCTGTGAATATTGACGCCTGTGTCTAGTTTTTCATTTTTGCCTCCGATCTAATGGCTGCTTACTAAGCTTTGAATGTTCTGCTCATGTTCTTGTTGTAATGCAAAATCTATGGAAAAACTGTGTTGAATGAAAAAATTCCTGTCAACAAATACCAGAAAAAGACCAATCATATGTCAAAGTTGGTAGAAACGATGTTCATTATATTACAGTGCAAAAATTGTGGGTAAGACTTTGAAGTATTTTACATTGCAGTGTTAATATTGAGTTTATGTTCGATGAAAAGTGGATGAAGAAGACTTCTCAAGACTCAACTTTGGATTTCTTTTGATTTCTTTTAAAAAACGTTTTTTTTCCAAAATTTGAGCTGCTTAATTCAGGGTGCAGCTTATCTGTGGGTGCGGCTTATCTCCAGGCTTTTACAGTAATACATTTCCTATCAGTCCCATTCAAACTCACAAAATGAAATCACTCTATTTTGCCTAGCCTAGAGAAAGGAACATCCCTTGCAATTATTACGATCCTTTTTTTTTTTGTAATCAAGACAGTCCTCACATGTTATGCTGAAACAAAGGTCTGGTGCCATTAGAGACCTAAAATGCATTTGATCCTTTCATGAAAATCTAGAAAACATTGACCTGTCTACTGGGACAATCAAATATAATACTATTTGAAGAATAGGAACAAGGGTGTAAATGACAACATTTCAACTTACACATTACAAGATGAGTTACAACAAAAGCAAAGAGATAGCAACAGTATATAGAGAGAGAAACTAGAAACATGAAGAAAAACTTGTAGTTCCTCTTCCCTACACAGTTCCCAACCTAGAAGAAAATAGTGAAAAGTAATCTAATCAAAACCTACTAGTGGTTAAATTATAACAAGGTCTAAAAGTTTCCTAATCATAAAATTAATGTGATTTAAAAGCTTTCAATCGGTATTTCCACAGGAAATTGGATGCACATCCATAGCTTGAAACCCCCCATCCCACGCCCTCAATAACTTGCTGGTACCCAATTCTTCCACCTAGTGAAGAGAGCCTCTATCAGCCAATTATAGTATGCAGAAGGCCATAACATACATTCCACAGCCACAAAAACCATGCAAACAAACATGCAAACAAAATCTCTCTCCAAATAATTCTGGAAAATGGGTTTTCATGCTTAGAAGGTTAGTGGCCAAACTGTGGAATAAAAAAAAAGGCAGAAAAATAACTTTGTATTAATGTATTATGTAAACTCACATCAAACTACTCACCCATGGACAGTGGTGGTCAAATCTCTCTAAAAATAAGAAAACATAGAATTTTGAGTTAGGCAGCTTAAAAATGCCTATGAATCTGAGAAATAGTCAACCAAAGCTTTGGTGTATTTATTGACCCATAGAAATTTCAGAAAACTTAATAGCTGGATATTAGTTGCATATAATATGTTAAAAAATACCTTCCTGGCTCCGGTTGTTCAAAGGGCGGATAATGCTATCCTACGGATAAATCACTATCCAGCGGATAAGTCTTACCAAAACGTACTGCGCTATCCACCGGATAGAGATTTATCTAGTGGATAGCGTTATCCACCCTTCGAACAACCAGGGCCTGGTGGATAAGTGCTAGTAAAACGTATAGCATTATCCACCGGATAGAGTGTTATCCAGTGGATAGTAGAGAGCTTAAGCACCAGATGTTCTTGAGGTCACGAACGCCTACCCGAAGTCATTAGATGAACTATGTACATACTGCGCATGTCATGACATTCGCGTGGTCACGTCGCAGACGCCAGAATGCCACTTTTCAGGTTGAAGGTAGGACGCCACAAAAATATGCTGTTATTTTGTTTATAGGAGATAAATTATTTACTCAAAACCATAAAAAGCTCTTCTGCTTTTATTAAGTGATTAAAAAACGTTTTCATAGCCCGTAAAGTGGTTTTTGCTTAATTGATAGATTAAACGAGATTCGACAATGGCAGACAATTTTCTCGCCAAGTCTGGGTGAGTTAAGTCAGTTGATTTCATGTCCATTTGAATCATCAAATGCAGAACTAAGATTTTTTTAAACCGGTTTTAAGCTTATCACAAATTACTTTGAGTGATAATTTAGAATTAAGACACTTAAGCAACATTTAGATACAATAACAAAGTGCAAAATGAGATAGATGATTGTCTTTCTGCATCGGTTGTATTTTGTAACTGCACATTGTATATCATATGCATCTATGCTAGGTTTTGAGCAACCGACTACAATCATAAGAATAACAAATCTCGCTGTGGTTGACGAATTTAGAAAAAGAGAAATGGTCCTCTAGGCATCCAGATCATGCACTGAAAACTTCATGCTCACTCGTTTGTTCGCTTTGTTTACACAGCTATGAAGTGGTAAATTTCAAGTCGCCTAATAAATTGACGGATTATTCATTCTGTCAAGAGAGTGGGGTAAAGAAACTTATTTCGTTGCTCATTAAGGTCATATCTCAAGCATCTTTTAGCAAAGACATGTTAACACGGGTAGAAGTCTGTGTCTGAAAAACGTTGACTGCTTAACCTTCCTATTTCGCACCAAGAACGAAGGCCTCAATCCAGTCTTACGCGGCTTCTCTGCCGTTCGTGTTGTCAAGAACGTCTTAAGCTCTCTAGTGTTATCCATCCTTTGAACAACCGGGGCCAGGACGGCACACTTCTACATAATGATGCAAGAGAATATTCTCCACATCTGCAATACAAACATCTTACTGGACAATCCCAAAATTTCCATAATATTCCTCCTTGTTAGCTCAATGGATAGAGTGCTGGACTGTTGTGTGGGAGGTCGAGGGTTCAAGCCCCAGCCGGACCAACACTCAGGGTCTTAAAATAATTGAGAAGAATATACTACCTTTCTATAACAACAAGAAATGGTTAGATATTCCAGTCTGCAGGGTTAGGGGCAGGAGACGTTAATTTCCCACGTACGAGATTACTGTGTTATGGATGTCCTCCCCTGGGTGGGATG